TAATCTGTAGCCCCTTGGTCCAAGTAAAAACCATCAACAGAAGGAGCACGGCAGAACAAAAAAAAAGAGCACGGCAGAATAGACCCCAAGAGCTGAGGAGCACGGCAGAAGAGGCCCCAAGAGCGAAGGAGCATGACAGGAAAAAAAACAGGAGCACGGCAGAATAGACCCCAAGAGCTGAGGAGCACGGCAGAATAGGCGCCAGGAAAGAAGGAGCATTGCAAAACACGACCAGTGACCAGGAGCACGGCAGAATAGACCGCGAGAGCTAAGGAGCACGGCAAGATAGAGGCAAGAATACAGCATAATACGCCCCAAGGAAGAAGGAGTGTGCAAGAAAAACACAAGGAGCACGGCAGAATAAACCCCGAAAGCGAAGGAGCACGGCAGAATATGCCCCAAGAGCTAAGGAGCACGGCCGAGAACGACCAGGAGCACGGCATCGTAAGTCCCAAGAACAAAGGATTGTGACAGAAAATGGCCAGGAGCATGGCAGAATAGGCCCGTAGAGCGAAGGAGGACGGCACAAAAAAAGCAACGAGCATTGCAGAACGGATCCCGTGAGCGACGGAGCACGGCAGAACTGCTCATTCTTTGCCTTGCTCTTTTTTCGCCGACCATGCTCCGCCCGATTTGTTTGAGGATGTATGCAGCGAGAGCGCGATTTTTAACACGAGAGGTAGTAAAAACGCCACTCCAAGATATCATTTTTGTTAGGATGTCTCAGGCGAGACACCCGTTTTTGAACATCTGTCGAATTCGCGGCTTCCCATGTTTAAGGGATGTCTCAAGCTAAACGCTCATTTTTGATGAAATCGATGTTGTGAACATTTCATTGTTGTAAGGATGTCTCAGACGAAATCGCCATGTCGGATCGTCTCGTGGGCGCTCCTGAGGGGCAAATTTGGGCTTGTTTGGGGCCTTTGGGGGCCTTCCTTATGCCTCACAAAACCGTTACAGTCCGATGTTACACACATTCATTTTTGTCAGGATGTCCCTGGCGAAATCGTCATTTTTAGACGACTGGCTTAAACCATCTAGAGGGCCTTTTCAGGAGGGATCCCAAGACGATGTTAAAACAGCAGTTTTCAAAACGATGTTGTTCGATTTGTTATTTTTTGAAGATGTCCCTAGCGAAATCACTATTTTCAGCAACCTGAAGGGCGCTCTTGGAGCCATGTTGTGGCCTTATTCTGCTTCCTGATGCCCTCCTAAAATCATTACGATGCGATGTCGCACGCATCAATTTGTTGAGGATGTCCCTAGCGAAATCGACATGTTTTGAAGGCTGCATTGGGCCGTCTGGAAGCCTTTTCAGAAGCAATGCCAAAACTATGTAAGAACAACAGTTTTCAAGTCGATGCTGGTGTATGTTTTCACTTTTTGAGGATGTCCCGAGCGAAATCGTTATTTTCGGAAGTCCCCCAATCGTTCTGACAGCCATCTTGACGTGCTTTTTGGCCTCTCATTTCGTCATCTTGAGGTACTTCGAGAACGATATCAAGACGACGTGAGGACATCTCATTTTGTTGAGGATGTCCCTAGCGAAATGCAAATTTTCTGCCGTGCTCGTCGTTCTGGTCCGCCGTGCTGCCGCTCGTTTTCTGAGGATGTCCCTAGCGAAATCGCAAGTCTTAACAGAAGAGTTAGTTAAAGACTTCAGTCGTCATCTCATTTATTCGAGGATGTCCCGAGCGAAACGCAAGTTTTCACAGACGGCGAAATTTCGTTGTCATCAACTTTTCGAGCATGTCTCGAGCGAAACGCTTGTTTTTGTTAAACGCGATGTCGCGAAGATTTCATTTTTGTGAGGATGTTTCACGCGAATTCGCCATCCCGAGGAACCTGACCGGACAAGAACGGGAAGCGCCGTTTTTTATCCACCACGTGCGTCAGAGACCGTATTGGCGAGAACGTCAGAGAAACCCATAAACGCAACAGAACAGACTAAATGATGGCCTGCCGCGCTGGTCTGTCGAGATAGTCTGCTGCCCTGGCCACATCATGGCGTCGACACCGTGCTTTTCTCTCGGCAAACGCGGGCCCTCACCCGTTGTCGCCCAGCCTACTTGTTCTGTTCCAGCCTGTCTTGTCTTTTGTTTGTCCGTCGTCGTCGTCGCGTGCCTTTCCTTTGTCGTGGTCGTCGTTTTCATTATAATCGTCCGCTGTTGCCGTTCTCGCTGTCGCCGTCGTTATCATTTTATGATTGCGGTAATTTTTCTGATTGCTTTTTTGTTGTTGGATTCCGTGTTCGGTTGGTTTTTGTGTTATGTTTGTGGTCGTTTTCTGTCATCGCTTTTTGTCGTAATTTTCGAGATCGTCATTGACGAAGACGACGACGAAGACGACGACGACGACGACGACGACGACCACGACGACGACGACGACGACGACGACGACGACAACGACAACGACCAGGAGGACCCGTGCCGGCTGGCTCGGGGTGCCCGCGTCCCTCTGCTGCCGCAGGCCGCCGCCAGCGAGTTCCGAAGTGCGGGCCCGTACCCCTTAGTTAGAGAAAATGAAGCCCCAGAACCAACGGTGCACGCCGGAGGCGCTTCCCGTCATCCTCGAGTTCGTCTGGAGGCCGTCTCGAGGCCGTCCTGAGGACATCCTGGGCCGTCCTGGCGGCACCGTGGGTCGTCTTGGGGGCCGGGGGCTCTTGAGGGTCTCTTGGGGCGCTTTGGGGGTCCTCTGGGGGGCCTTCGGGGTTTCTCTTGGGCCGTTCGGAGGCCCTCCGCGAGCGTGCGGTCTGCCGTGCGAACGTGTGGACTGCCGTGCTCATTTGGGGTCTGCCTTGCTCCTTTGTGGTTTGCCGCGCTCCTGTGTGGTCTGCCGTGCTCCTGTGTGGTCAGCCGTGCTCCTGAGGCGTCTACGGTGCTCCTTTGATCGGTCTGACCGGTTTATCAGCTTACACGGCACAGCGCAGCAACACGACAGACGGCAGCAGCACGGCAGACCAGGAAGGCAGACCACAGGAGCACGGCGGACCAAAACGGCAGACCAGAACGGCAGACCGCAGGAGCACGGCAGACCAGCACAGCTGACCACAGGAGAACGGCAGACCAGCACAGCGCTGTTGCAACAGACGGTGCTGATACACTCTTAATCTATTGAACACGTCCCCAGCGAAATCCTCATGTTCGGCCGTATTGAGGGCACTCTGCGGGTCATCTTTGGGCCGATTCTGTTTTTGGGGGGCCGTACTGATGCCCTCAAAAACGATTCCAAGACGACGTTAGACTCATTGTTTGTTTGATGATTGTTCGGCCGTCTTGAGGGCACTCTTAGGGCATAGTCTGCCGTGCTCCTCGTCTTGGTCTGCCGTGCTCCTCGTCCTGGTCCTCCTTTCCGTCGTCTTGAGGGCGCTCTTGGGGCCTGGTCTGCCGTGCTCCTCGTCTTGGTCTGCCGTGCTCCTCTCGGTTTCAAGATGATGTTGCGAACATCTCACTTTCACCTCGATTTTTGGAGGATGTCTCGAGCGAAATGGCCATTTTGGGGAACCTGACCGGACAAGAACGGGAAGCGTCCTTTTGTCCCCTGGGCTTATGAGATATTCCACGTTTTTAGTACGGCATACCACAGCAGTGCCACGTACCACTGCCGTGCTTCTTTGGGGTCTGCCGTGCTCCTGTGGAGTTTGCCGTGCGAACGTGTGGTCTGCCGTGCTCCTGTGTGGTCTGGCGTGCTCCTGTATGGTCTGCCGTGCTCTTGTGTGGTTTGCCGTGCTCCTGTGTGGTCTGCCGTGCTCCCGTGGGGTCTGCCGTGTCCTGTGTGGTCTGCCGTGCTCCTGTGTGGTCTGCCGTGCTCCTGTGTGGTCTGCCGTGCTCCTTCTTGGTCTGCCGTGCTCATGTGGGGTCTGCCGTGCTCCTGTGCGGTCTGCCGTGCGAACGTGTGGACTGCCGTGCTCATTTGGTGTCTGCCTTGCTCCTTTGTGGTTTGCCGCGCTCCTGTGTGGTCTGCCGTGCTCCTGTGTGGTCAGCCGTGCTCCTGAGGCGTCTACGGTGCTCTTTTGGGGTCTGCCGTACTCATTTGGGGTCTGCCGTGCTCCTGTGGTCGGCCGTGCTCATTTGGGGTCTGCCGCGCGCCTGTGAGATCTGCCGTGCTCCTGTTGGGGAAACGCCAGCGGCGTTCGGGGTACAACAAAAAGGCGCGTTTATGTTGTACCCGCGCGCGGTCTGCCGTGCTCCTGTGGGTTCCGCCGTGCTCCTGTGGCGTCTGCCGTGCTCCTGTGGCGTCTGCCGGGCTCCTGTGTGGTCTGCCGTGCTCCTTTGTGGTCTGCCGTGCTCCTGTGGAGTCTGCCGTGCTCCTGTGTGGTCTGCCGTGCTCTTGTGGTCTGCCGTGCTCATTTGGGATTTGCCGTGCTCATGTGGGGTCTGCCGTACTCCTGTGTGGTCTGCCGTGCTCCGGTGGTCTGCCGTGCTCCTTTGGGGTCTGCCTTGCTACTGTGGGGTCTGCCGTGCTCCTGTGTGGTCTGCCGTGCTCCTGTGGTTTGCCTTGCTCCTGTGTGGTCTGCCGTGCTCCTTTTGGGTCTGCTCTGCCGTGCTCCTGTGGGGTCTGCCGTGCTCCTGTGGGGTCTGCCGTGCTCTTGTGGGGTCTGCCGTGCTCTTGTGTGGTCTGCCGTGCTCCTTTGTGGTCTGCCGTGCTCCTGTGTGGTCTGCCGTGCTCCTGTGTGGCCTGCCGTGCTCTTGTGTGAGCTGTGAGCTGCGGGGCCTGTGAAGGCTGGAAGAAGCCCGAGGCCCACAGAGCCCGTTGGCCCCAGGGCCTCAAGGGCCAACCCTAGGGGCCCCAAGGGAGCCGCCAGGGGAAAGGGCGCGAAGCGCCAAAAGCGCGAAGCGCACGATTTCAAAGAAATCAGAAGGCAGCGGGGCGGAGGCGCACATCACGCCTGACAGCCCCCTCGCTGCATCAACAATGCGGGGCAGAAGACGCTGCCACACGCGCACGCCAAAGGAGGTGACGAGGGGCAGATACAACAGAAAGAGGAAAGTGATGCTGCATCACTCCCCTTCGTCACCTTCAGCGCGACGGCGTCTCTTGCGCCTGTCTTCGCGCGCCGTCTCTGCTGCGGCTGACCACTCAAGGAGGCTCGCTTCGTCGAGCCCGTAGGCGCTCAGCCAAGCCTCCCTAGAGGTCCCCGAGGAGTCAGGCGCCAGGGGCTCAGCCTCCGCCTCACCTGCTGCCGCCGCGCCGCTGGGGGGCCCTCGGCCGGCGTCGGCGGCCACGCCGCCAGGTGCATCATCGGGGCGGACACCCAGCCACTCCAGGAAGCGCACCCTGGCGGCCATCGGCACCACGTCCTCCTTGCGCAAGCTGGGCACAGACGCTCCGACCCTCTTGCTGCCGCTGTGGGGCGTGCCAGCAGGGTGCCGCCCCTGCAACCTGCGCGCCTTCTGGTCTCTCCTGCCCTTGGGAAGCCCAGCCGACCCTGGGCACTGCTCCTTGAGCTTGGGCGCCGCACCTGAGCGCCCGCCCAGCCGCGCGTACGCCCCGCAGTGGGTGCACGCCATCAGCTCCTGCTCGGCGGCCCCCTCCCCGCACTTGGCGCAGGCCAGGACGTGGCCGACGACGACGAAGGCCGTCGCCCCGAGGGAGACGCCACCAGCGCGCGCCGCCGAAGCCCACCCGTCGCTCGAACATGGGTCGGGAGGGCGGCTGCTGGCGGGCTCCACCACTGGCACTGCGAAGGATACGGCCGCCCGCTCGCTGCCCTCGGGGAGGCCCTCGCAGTCCTTGACCTCGATCCCCTGCCAGATGAGGGAGGCTTGCGCCACCCAGCACGAGAGCTCCCTCACCACCTCCATCGTGCCAAAGAACTCGCGCCTGGCAGCTGGGCTGGTACGGTGGAGCTCCGCCCCCGCCTTGGCCCAGCGGTCTGCATGTCCGTTGCCACGGAGGTCCGCCTCCGTGATCTTGCCATCCATCACGTCTCTGGCGGTGCAGTGGGCTGCGACCTTGGTCACCTTGAGCGTGTCCACGTCTAGCGACGCGTAGATCCCCTCCCAGAGGTGGGCGTTGGGCTTGTTGGCTGCCGTCGCGTACTTCTTACCCAACGTGAGGCAGCTGACCGTGGACGCGCAGTCGATGAGGAGCTCGTCAACGCTCGGGCCCAGGAAGCGAGACAGCATCCAGACCGCGAAATCCTCGCCGTCCTTCGCCGTCTGGAACGGGCAGAGGTCCTGGCGCACGCTGCCGTACACCGCGCACTCCATGTAGCCGTCGGAGTCGCACTGCACGATGCTCCATCCCGCACGCCGTAGGCTCTCGTGCTCAGGGTCGAGCGCCGACCCATCCAGATAGAGCCGCCCCCCGAGAAGACCGTCAGCGGGGCGATTGCACCACATGACTGACATGGCGTCTGTCCTCGTGGCGGCCCTCGGTGGCTGAGGGAGCCAGCAGCGCGCGAAACATTCACCCGCCTCCTCGCCACGGCCGCGTGCACGATGCGCACAGCGCCGAAGGCGGTCAGAGGTAGAGTCACGCCTGGCCCCCGCAAGGACAGGACACTCGAACAGCCTGTGCCAGAGGCTGCCGCGGGGGGCCTGACAGGCACAGCAGCGAGCGTGCTCCCTCTCTCCCGCCGAGTGCAGACGGGTCTGGGGCCAGTGGGCGTTGGAAAGGAAGCTCACCACCGCCGCTTTCTCCCTGTGGCTGAGCTTGCTGCCAGGCCCGAGGACCTCCGCGAAGGCCTCCCAGAACAGGGGCGACTGGGGGAGCGCCCCGTGGCCGAGGCGGGCCAGCTCCGACTTGTCCGACGCGCGCCGTGCCCCTGCAGCAGCCAGCAGGCCCAGCTCGCGCGGCCCCAACATGCGCAGGTCCAGGAGATGGCCGTCGTCGGTTGCGAGGCGGGCCCCGTGAACAAGCCTCCAGCCAACCCTGGAGAGCGAGAGGGCCAGGGCATCCACCGGCGTGCGGCAGTGCACCCAAGGGGCCGCTGCCCCCGCGTGTCTCTGCACTGCCTCCTGCACGGCCGACTCGAACATGCGCAGCGGGACCTCCCCCGACTGGAGGAGACTGGCCGCCATCTGCACCGCGGCACGAAGCAGCGCGGGGCTCGGGTCGAGATCGGTGGACTTCATGACCTCCACCACTCTGAGTCTCAGCCCGAGCGAGGCGCCCTTAGGGAACTTCCCAGCTGAGCGTATCGCCGCCAGGCGCCACGAATGTAGCTCCCTATCAGGTACGCCAGTCACAGTGCGCCCCCACAGCATCGCCGCGGTGGGCCCAGCACGATGAACCATCTCGGTAACCGCGCCAGCTGAGCGAAGCACCCCTAGCCTACGTCCTCGGCGAAGGCCGCTGACCGCACGCACAGCTCCTTCATGAACTCCACGACGAGTGATGTTGGCGTCGGTGCCGAGGTTCCTCGCCTGAAGTCCCCTCTTGAAGGTAAAGCCATGCTCCGCCCAAGCCTCGGAGAGCTCCTTGGCGAGCTGCGGCGACGAGGCCAGGAATACCGACTTACTCTCGTTGAGTGGGAGGTGCTGCTCTCGCAGCTGTCGGACCACTTCCCAACTGGCGGCCACCATCTGCAGCTTCACGAGCCGAGCCGTGCCGACCGCCTGGAGAGAAATATCGTCGACAACATTCCTCGGCGTGACCAACGGGCTCGTCGCCCCCGCTGCCAGGAGGGCTCCCAGAACTGGGAGCTTCGCAACTGCTGTCGCACACGCACACCCAGCCAGCACCGTTCCTGTAGTGCCGAAGGCGGGGGAGGCCATGCCCGCCGCGAGGATCATCCTAGGGGCCTGGTAGGACGTGAGGAGGCCGCGCAGCAACCTGAGGTTGAACCCGAAACGTACCGCATTCGCCCAGAGAACGTCGTGCCGCACGTGCTCGTAGAACTTGCTGATGTCCAGGAAGAGGCTCGCGGCCTCGAACTGCGGGTTCGACTTCGCGAACCCCGCGAAACAGTTGTGCAACCAACCAGCCCTCTCACAGTCCCGCCCATCACGTCCCCAGAAGAAGGGGAAGTTGTGGTCCGCCTCCCAGCGCGCACAGCACGGTTGGCGGAGGCGCGACCAGAGCCGCAGGACCAACGGCAGCAGCGCTATGGGCCTTACCCCACCGTCTGCCTTCGGAATGAACACCATCAGGGAGACCTGCCCGTGGATCGATGCAGGGGCCTCGTCGTAGGCCGCCAGGATGTCGAGGATGCGCAGCTGCAGCGCCACTGGCAGAAGGAGGATCTGCCGAGGGTGCAGGGAGTCGCACCCGAGGCCCACAGAGGGGCTGTAGCGCTTGCAGGCTGCCTGGAGCTGCTCCAGCGAGATGGGGGGCAACTGCCACTCGCCCACGTCCCAGCTGCTGGCCCCTGCGCCCGAGGCAAACCCGTCCTGGAGCCAAAGCTTCTGCCAGACCCTCGTGAGTTCGCCAATCGCTGCCATACCCACCAGCCTCCTGCCCGAGTCGGCATCCCTGACCGTCGGCGGGGGCGTCGCCTTCGAGAAGCGGTGGGCCAGGCGGCCGCCCTTCTCGACCGCTGTCTGGGCCCAGCTGCGCCAGGCCTGGGCGCTCTGAGCCGCATCGCGGCGCTGCGAAGCATAGAGCAGCCCTTGGAGGTCCCGAACTGCCTCAGGACTGCCGCGGACGCCCGCCTGGTACACCAGGTCGCTCCACCGCTCAGGCGCAGCACCAGGAAGACCCTGACCGACCGAGTCGTCCGCATCCTGCACCGCCTCCAGCAAGAGCTGCGCCCTGAGCTCGGCCTGGTGCTCGTACCAGTCCGCATGCTGAGGGTGCCATCGGCCCGTGCTCTCCGCGCGCATCCGCTGGAGGGCCACGTCGAGGCAACTCCTTAGGCGGTGCGTGAGGAGGCTGAACCTGAACCTGGCTTCGCGCCTGACAAGGGCGCTGAGCGGCTTGAGGGTCAGCCTCGGCCCCTCTCCTCTGCCGAGATGACGGGCCAGGTCAGCTTGGCCGATGCCGTGGATGCCGACCAGGGTGCCCTCTGCAGCAGCCGCCCACTCTCCGAAGGCGACGGAGAGGCTGGTCGGGGCAGAGCCCACGTCCCAGGACCACGAGACCTCCCTGGACGTGACCTGCCCCTTCTTGCTAAACGAGTAACGCACAATCTCCGCGTCCTCGTGTGCCCGAAGGAGCTCAGGGGCTACCTCGGGGAAGCGGGCGGGCCTGGACGGAACCTCGACCAACGCATCAGCCCGCACATCTTGTAGGCGAAGTAGGACAGGGCGATGAGGGTGCAGACCAAAGCCCTCGAGCGTGGTGGCACAGGAGGCCGTGCATGCAGCCAACGCCGCAGACGCCACGAACCAGTCGTAGAGGTGGTCACAGCCCTCAGCATGGCACGTCGCCTCCGTGGGTCCCAGGACGTGCCCCCGCACTGCCGCGGGCCAGCCCAACTCCTCCAGGGGCTCGGGCTCCATGTTGAAGTCCGCTTGGAGGACCCACGGGATGTCTGCCTCGAAGCCCGTCACCTCCGAGATGGCCGAAAACAAGTCGAGGTTGATGCCTCGGGGGCCGAGAGAGTGCTGGAAATACCCAGCAAGCACCAGAAGCCGAAGGCCCGAAGCTGCGGCAATCTCCACTCCGATGAGGCGGTGCCGCAGAGCCGAGGGCAGCGGGGCTGCGGACTCGTCGGCCTGCAAGCCGTCCCGCACTAGGATCGCCACGCCGCCTGAGGTCGCCAGAGGCCCCTGCTTCTCCGTCAACACTGCCGCGTGGAGGAAGGCCACGTACCCCAGGCCTCGAGCCTGAGCCGCCGCACTGGGCAGGCGCTCATGCGGGAGCCTCGTCTCCTGCAGCGCCACGACGTCGGGCCAGTAGTCGTACGCCTTGAAGAAGGCTTCAATGACCTCAATGCTCCTGCTCCAAGTATTGCCATTGCAGCCGAGCAAGACGAGGCCAGCTCGGAGCTGCTGGCCTCCTGCCCCGTCACCAGGCGGCGCCTTGCCGATGACGGCAGCCTCGCGAGCCGCACGCTCCTCAACGCCAGGCTCCAAGTCCGCCGAGCCCCAGGTCGCGGGGCCCTCCGCCCCCACCAGGACTGGAGGGGGGACCTGGCCCCGCGCTCCAGCGCTCCTAGACGGCGTCGGCGGGCTGCACGCCTGCACGGGAGGTGGCCACCGCTGGGGGGGGGGCCGTCCCTCCGCCCCTCCGGTAGCGAGCGGGGGGTGCGCTTGCCCTTCACCAACGGGACCGAGAGCTGCGACGTCGTGGGGCTGAATCCCACCGCTCTCGGCCCCTGACTGGCCGTCGGGGGGCCACCACGGTGTTCCCGACCGCGCCAGCTGGCTACTTCGGGCAAGGGCTTTGGGCGCCGCCCGCCGCCTGCGAGGGGCTCTGACGCGCCAGCGGCCGTCGCAGCGCCGCCTCCACCTGTCCCAGCAGCTGGGCCCCCGAGGTGTGGAGGCTTGCCACACCAGCCCTCCTGCGTCACCCACGGCGCGGCCCGTACCCTGCAGCAGGAGCCACGGCAGTAGCCGCAGCCACCAGGGGGTCGCCGTCCGAGATGGCCGCCCCTTGCTCTGCGAGGGCCTTGGCGAGGCAGGGCTCCACCTGGGGCCACGCACCCAGAGTCGCTCCGTGCTGGCCACGGGCCACTGCGGGCCCGCAGGGTCCACCCGCAGACCTGGCCCGAGGGGCGGGCGGCCCAGCCGCGGACTGACCTGTCCGCGGGCCTCCAGGGGCGGGGGCGGCCACGGGCCCACCTGAGGGCACGGTGTCGAGCGGCATGTCATCGTCCTCAGTCGCGAGGCCGTCGTCGCCAACGCAGTCACCCCAGCGCTTCCTGGCCGAGCTGCTGCGGGGTCTGAGCACGTCAGCGACCGCTTCCTTCTGCGTGTTGAAGATGTCGACGATCTCGGAGAACCTGGGGGGCAACTCATCCCCGTGCTGCTTGAGGAGGTCCGACAGGGCCCCAACCTGCGTGAGCAGCCCCTGGACAGCGTCCCCGAGCGGGCTCGGCACACCACCGACTGCCGCGTTGGCCCTCTGGATCGCCTGCTGCGTGACCTTGGCCTTGGTCTCTTCCAGCTCAGCAATCTGCCCAGTAACTTCATCAACTCCCAACTCGGCCGCAGACAGCTGCTCCTGCTTCTCCGCGATGAGGTCACGCAGCTCAGCCGCCTGCAGCTGGAGCTTCTCCCTCTTGGTGCGGGCATTGGCCAGCTGACGCTCGACCTTCTGGATGGCGTTGGCCTCGATGTGGAAGACCGAGTGGGGCGGGCGCCCCGTCCGCTGGGCCTCCTGGGCCGACTGCTCGAGCGCGGCGACCTGGTCCCTGCCCTGCTGGAGGGCCTTCTCCGCCTCACGCTGGAAGCCCTCCGAGAGCCCGAGCTCCGCGGTCGCCTGGAGCTTGTCGACCCGCTCCTTGGCCGCCACGAGCTGCGCCTGGAGCTCATCGTACTGAGACTTGGCCTCTCCCAAGGAACGCCCACGCCGTGTCCTGCTGTTGGGGGCGCTGCTGGGTGCCGTGCTCCCTGAGAGGGCCCGCTGAGAGGCGGAGCGCCTCGCAGCGCGTTGGTCAGCTCTTCCCCTGGGCTGCTGCACGAACCCGTCGGCGTCCACCCGAGGGGAGACCTTGTCGGAGCGGTACGCCTTCGTCCATGGGGGGGCACAGGTGCCACACGCCTTGCACGTCCAACGCTTGTCGCACCAATTCCAAGCGTTGCAGCCACGCTTAGCACACAACCAGTAAGCCCTCCGAGCGGGCCCCGAGGCAACCTCCGACATGGCGGCTCACCGAGGGACTGGCCGCAGCTTGGCCGAGACACTCGGCCCTGCAGGAACGAAGAAGAACAAAATTGGCGAAGCTTCTGGCTCGTGGCAGAGCGCCCCTCGCGCTCAAGAACGCCCGACGGACTCGCGGTCGTCGGGTGCGCCATGGCCTTGAGCCAAAATGGCTACGGACCGTGCTCTTGTGTGGTCTGCCGTGCTCCTGTTGGTCTGCCGTGCTCTTCTATGGTCTGCCGTGCTCCTATGGGGTCTGCCGTGCTCCTGTGGGGTCTGCCGTGCTCATGTGTGGTCTGCCGTGCTCCTGCGCGGTCTGCCGTGCTCCTGTGGCGTCTGCCGTGCTCCTGTGTGGTCTGCCGTGCTCCTGTGGTCTGCCGTGCTCATTTGGGGTTTCCCGCCAGCTTGTGTGGTCTGCCGTGCTCCTGTGGGGGAAACGCCAGCGGGATTGCCGTGCTCCTGTGTGGTCTGCCGTGCTCCTGTGTGGTTTGCCGTGCTTCTGTGGTCTGCCGTGCTCCTTTGTGGTTTGCCGTGCTCCTGTGGGGTCTGCCGTGCTCCTGTGGGGTCTGCCGTGCTCCTGTGAGGTCTGCGGTGCTCTTGTGTGGTCTGCAGTGCTTCTGTGTCTGCCGTGCTCATTTGGGATCTGCCGTGCTCGTGTGGTGTCTGCCCTGCTCCTGCGGGATCTGCTGTGCTCCTTGTGTCGTCTCTTTGGTCTGCCGTGCTCGTGTGGGGTCTGCCGTGCTCCTGTGTGGTCTGCCGTGCTCCTGTGGTCTGCCGTGCTCCTTTGTGGTCTGCCGTGCTCCTGTGTGGTCTGCCGTGCTCCTGTGTGGCCTGCCGTGCTCTTGTGTGAGCTGTGAGCTGCGGGGCCCATGAAGGCTAAAAGGAGCCCGAGGCCCACGGAGCCCGTTGGCCCCAGGGCCTCAAGGGCCAACCCTAGGGGCCCCAAAGGAGCCGCCGCAGGGGAGGGCGCGAAGCGCCAAATGCGCGAAGCGCACGATTTCAAAGAAATCAGGAAGGCAGCAGAGGCTGCGGCGCGCAAACCACGCCTAACATGCCCGCCTCGCTGCAACTGAGATGCGGGGCAGAAGATGCTGCCTCACGCACACACCGAAAGAAGATGACGAGGGGCGGACACAACAGGAGGAGGAAGATGATGCTGCATCACTCCCCTTCGTCACCATCAGCGCGGCGGCGCCTCTTGCGCCTGTCCTCGCGCGCCGTCTCTGCCGCGGCTGACCACTCGAGGAGGCTCGCCTCGTCAAGCCCGTAGGCGCTAAGCCAAGCCTCCCTCGAGGCCCCCGAGGGGTCAGGCGCCAAAGGCTCAGCCTCCGCCTCGCCCGCGGCCGCCGCGCCGCTGAGGGGCCCGCGGCGGGCGTCGGCGGCCACGCCGCCAGGTGCATCCTCGGGGCGGACACCCAGCCACTGCAGGAAGCGCACCCTAGCGGCCAGCGGCACCACGTCCTCCTTGCGCAAGCTGGGCACAGACGCTCCGACCCGCTTGCTGCCGCTGTGGGGCGTGCCAGCAGGATGCCGCCCCTGCAGCCAGCGCGCCTTCTGGTCCCGCCTGCCCTTGGGAAGCCCAGCAGACCCTGGGCACTGCTCCTTGAGCTTGGGCGCCGCGCCTGAGCGCCCGCCCAGCCGCGCGTACGCCCCGCAGTGGGTGCACGCCATCAGCTCCTGCTCGGCGGCGCCCTCCCCGCACTTGGCGTAGGCCAGGACGTGGCCGGCGACGACGAAGGCCGTCGCACCGAGGGAGACGCCACCAGCGCGAGCCGCCGAGGCCCACCCGTCGCCCGAACCCGAGTCGGACGGGCGGCTGCTGGCGGGCTCCACCACGGGCACTGCGAAGGAGACGGCCGTCCGCTCGCTGCCCTCGGGGAGGCCCTCGCAGTCCTCGACCTCGATCCCCTGCCAGATGAGGGAGGCTTGCGCCACCCAGCAAGAGAGCTCCCTCACCACCTCCATCGTGCCAAAGAACTCGCGCCTGGCCACGGGGCTGGTACGGTGCAGCTCCGCCCCCGCCTTGGCCCAACGGTCAGCATGTCCGTTGCCACGGAGGTCCGCCTCCGTGATCTTGCCATCCATCACGTCTCTGGCGGTGCAGTGGGCTGCCACTTTGGTCACCTTGAGCATGTCCACGTCCAGCGAAGCGTAGATCCCCTCCCAGAGATGGGCGTTGGGCTTGTTGGCTGCCGTCGCGTACTTCTTGCCCAACGTGAGGCAGCTGACCGTGGACGCACAATCGATGAGGATCTCGTCAACGCTCGGGCCCAGGAAGCGAGACAGCATCCAGACCGCGAAATCTTCGCCGTCCTTCGCCGTCTGGAAAGGGCAGAGGTCCTGGCGCACGCTGCCGTACACCGCGCACTCCATGTTGCCGTCGGAGTCGCACTGCACGATGCTCCAGCCCGCACGCCGCAGGCTCTCGTGCTCGGGGTCGAGCGCCGACCCATCCAGGTAGAGCCGCCCCCCGAGGAGACCGTCGGCGGGGCGATTGCACCACATGACTGCCATGGCATCCGACCTCGGGGCGGCCCTCGGGGGCTGTGGGAGCCAGCAGCGCGCGAAACATTCACCCGCCTCCTCACCACGACCACGTGCACGATGCGCGCAGCGCCGAAGGCGGGCGGAGGTAGAGTCACGCCTCGGCCCCGCAAGGACAGGACACTCGAACAGCCTGTGCCAGAGGCTGCCGCGGGGGGCCTCACAGGCACAGCAGCGAGCGTGCTCCCTCTCTCCCGCCGAGTGCAGACGGGTCTGGGGCCAGTGGGCGTTGGAAAGGAAACTCACCACCGCCGCCTTCTCTCTGGGGCTGAGCTTGCTGCCAGGCCCGAGGACCTCCGCGAAGGCCTCCCAGAACAGGGGCGACTGAGGGAGCGCACCGTGGCCGAGGCGGGCCAGCTCCGCCTTGTCCGACGCACGCCGCGCCCCTGCCGCAGCCAGCATGCCCAGCTCGCGCGGCCCCATCATGCGCAGGTCCAGGATATGGCCGTCGTCGGTGGCGAGGCGGGTGCCTTGGACGAGCCTCCAGCCCACCCTGGTGAGCGAGAGGGCCAAGGCATCCACGGGCGTGCGGCAGTGCGCCCATGGGGCTGCTGCTCCCGCGTGCCTCTGCTCTGCCTCCTGCAAGGCCGTCTCGAACATACGCTGCGGGACCTCCCCCGACTGGAGGATACTGGCCGCCATCTGCACCGCGGCACGAAGCAGCGCGGGGCTCGGGTCGAGGTCGATGGACTTCATGACCTCCACCGCTCTGAGTCTGAGCCCGAGCGAGGCGCCCTTAGGGAACTTCCCAGCCGAGCGCACCGCCGCCAAGCGCCACGAATGAAGCTCCCTATCAGGTACACCAGTCACAGTGCGCCCCCACAGCATCGCCGCAGTGGGCCCAGCACGGTGGACCATCTCGGTCGCCGCGCCAGCTGCGCGAAGCACCCCTAGCCTGCGTCCTCGGCGAAGGCCGCCGACCGCACGCACAGCTCCTTCATGCACTCCACGACGAGTGATGTTGGCGTCGGTGCCGAGGTTCCTCGCCTGAAGTCCCCTCTTGAAGGTCAAGCCCTGTACTGCCCAAGCCTCGGAGAGCTCCTTGGCGAGCTGCGGCGACGAGGCCAGGAAGACCGACTTACTCTCGTTGAGTGGGAGGTGCTGCTCACGTAGCTGGCGGACCACTTCACAACTGGCGGCCAACATCTGCTGCTTCACGAGTCGGGCCGTGCCGACCGCCTGGAGCGAGATGTCGTCGACAACATTCCTCGGCGTGACCAAAGGGCTCGTCGCCCCCGCGGCCAGGAGGGCTCCCAGTACTGGGAGCTTCGCGACTGCTGTCGCGCACGCACACCCAGCCAACACCGTGCCAGTAGTGCCGAAGGCAGGGGAGGCCATGCCCGCCGCGAGGATCATCCTAGGGGCCTGGTAGGAGGTGAGGAGGCCGCGCAGCAGCCTGAGGTTGAACCCGAAACGTACAGCATTCGCCCAGAGAACATCGTGCCGCACGTGCTCGTAGAACTTGCTGATGTCCAGGAAGAGGCTCGCGGCTTCGAACTGCAGGTTCGACTTCGCGAACCCCGCGAAACAGTTGTGCAGCCACCCAGCCCGCTCACAGTCCCGCCCGCCACGTCCCCAGAAGAAGGGGAAGTTGTGGTCAGCCTCCCAGCGTGCACAGCACGGTTGGCGGAGGCGCGACCAGAGCCGCAGGACCAGCGGCAGCAGCGCAATGGGCCTTACCCCACCATCTGCCTTCGGGATGAACACCATCAGGGAGACCTGCCCGTTGATCGATGCAGGGGCTTCGTCGTAGGCCGCCAGGATGTCCAGGATGCGCTGCTGCAGCGCCACGGGCAGCAGGAGGATCTGCCGAGGGTGCAGGGAGTCGCACCCGAGGCCCACCGAGGGGCTGTAGCGTTTGCAGGCTGCCTGGAGCTGCTCCAGCGAGATGGGGGGCAGCCGCCACTCGCCAACGTCCCAGCTGCTGGCCCCTGCGCCCAAGGCAAACCCGTCCTGGAGCCACAGCTTCTGCCAGACACTCGTGAGCTCTCCAATCGCTGCCATCCCAACAAGCCTCCTGCCCGAGTCAGCGTCCCTGACCGTCGGCGGAGGCGTCGCCTTCGAGAAGCGGTGGGCCAGGCGACCGCCCTTCTCGACCGCTGTCTGGGCCCAGTTGCGCCAGGCCTGGGCGCTTTGAGCCGCGTCTCGGCGCTGCGAAGCACTGAGCAGCCCTTGGAGGTCCCGAACTGCATCAGGGCTGCCGAGGACGCCCGCCTGGAACACCAGGTCGCCCAACCGATCAGGAGCAGCACCAGGGAGAGCCTGACCGACCGAGTCGTCCGCCTCCTGCACCGCCTCCAGCAAGAGCTGCGCCCTGAGCTCGGCCTGGTGCCCGTACCAGTCCGCATGCCGAGGGTGCCATCGGCCAGTACTCTCCGCGCGCACCCGCTGGAGGGCCACGTCCAGGCAACTTCTTAAGCGGTGCGTGAGGAGGCTGAACCTGAACCTGGCATCCCGCC